GGTTACCCCCTCGACTCCCCTCTCGCAAACATTAGCCTGTGCCGCATGTCAACTGGAGCGGCAATAAGTGCCATGCATATTGTCGCAACCAGGTGACGCCACAAGCAGCTGCCTGACAGCATAAACTGCAACTTGGCTTGCTAACTTGGCTTATTGGCACTGCCAGGTGAAACTCGTACAAAACAAAATCAACAACAAACTATGCTAAAAATTTAAGTCTCAGCCCTGTCGAAGTTGACTTTATCTTGGTAAAAACTTTTTCTTATGGCTTGCGTTGAAATTGCGGGATTTATCCGCTATAAAATGGTCAATTATATAAAGTAGTCTACAGCCATAAAGCTTACTGCAAGTGCAGCTCCCAAAATGAAGCCACAATTCACATAAAAGCACAACTTTAGTTCAAAGTGTGGATGGCAAACAATTTGATTTATATTTGTTTGCACTCTAAATAATATCAATATAACAGTTGATTGATCATAATAATAATAATAATCGAGCACAATATTTTTTTCGCATTTCATCAAGTTTTACAAGCTTGCAACACTTTCAGCAATCCTCATCGTCATTCACTTGCAGCCTTGCAGTCTCGCACAGGCAGCCAACCCCCTTTTTTATTTGTGACCCATCAACTCACAATACACGACCAATTCACACCAGTTTCCTTCGCAGCGCTCCCCCCAACACCCTTTTGGTTTTCCCCAATTTTCATTGTATGACCCTTGAAGCAATTTACGCGCTGGTTGCGATTGCATTGCAATTGCTTGACCCAAATGTCATAAACAATAAAATTTATTAAAATATATATATATATGTATATGTATATATATATATATTCTCATATACGCGGCATATGGGACAATGATTCATTTAAAACAGGACGACAACAACAACAATAGGAACAATAACAACAGGCATCAGCAGAAACAATGGCAAATGCACAACAAGCTGGAAATTTAAACAAAATTTTGCACATTTCGTGTTACCCCATTGTTGCTGCTGCTGCTGTTGTTGCTGTTTTGGTTGTTGTTGTTGCTGTTTTGGTTGTTGCTGTTGTTGTTGTTCACATTACTGTTGTGTTCTGTTCAGCTGTGCTGTGTTCTTTGTTTGTTCGTTGTGTTCGTTGTTGTTATCGTTGTTGTTGCCGTTGCACTTGCTGCTTGACACTGTTTTCAACCACACCCATTTATTTGCAATGTCAACGAGTCTGCACTAAAAAAAAAGAGCATTAGCAAGCAAGAATGCTCGAGTCGAAAGAGCTCGACTATGAGATACTCTGAACCAAAGTTTTAACCTATCACAATTTATTGTTATTCAAAATGAAAGTTCAGCTGAGTAATTTGATAAATATGACTATTCGATGATCTTTTTTATCCTTGATATTTTTTATCAAGGAATACAAAAACTCGTTTATAAAGTTATATCTAAGCTAGGAACTAGGAATTCATCCAAGTATCAGGCTCAGAAGGAGGCGCAATTGATTTGAAGCCCCTCAATAATAATAATATAAGGATATATTTTTAAAATTGTGTCATTTTTGCTAACAGTGTTAATCCTGATCTAGAATATATATACTATATAGTTGTATATTGCATACTTTTGTACAAGCTTGTTATACAATTTTTATCCTTTCTATTAATAAATAGCAAATGGAGTTATAATTTATAAAGTCTGTGAATCGATTTACTTATCAAATTATATATTCTCCTGCAGGATTTTGTTTTATTTATTTATCTAATGTAGACTTAAAACAGTTTACAAACTTTAAGAGCTACAAACATGTAAATTAAATTACAAATAAAAATAAATAATTTTAAAGTAATAACAATTACATATTGAAATATGTGTTTTATTTACTTGCATCAATCGAATGCAAATTAATTCAAGGGCAATTGACTTAAGGGCAACAATTAAGTTTTCTACCACAATTGTTGTTTTGGGATTGCTGACCCTTCGTCTTGACTGGAAAAGCATATCCGATAGCTTATAACCATTCTATATAAATAAATATTGATTGAACTGACTGTCAAATTTTGTATTTATTCTGTCCACAGGGTATTTGATGGCACGTCGCAGCTGTTTGAGCCTCGTTACTAATGGCTAACGGCTAAGGCATGCTGCGGGCCATGAAATTTGCATGTAATTTGCCATACTACACAGAAGCAGAGGAGGAGGAGGAGGAGCAAGTGGAAGCGGCAGCAGCAGTATCCAGTGCTGGCCATATATTCATGATGAGACCCACAAAAATCCATGAGGCGACAGCTTGTAGTGAGAGGCGACCTTGAACCCACAGTGGAAACTAATTCAACAGCAGGCAGCAGGCAGTCAGCAGGCAGGCTGTCGGCCACAAAACACGCCCCTTTGCTGTCTTTGCGATTTTCCCAGTGTGTCTGGCTAATTAGCAATGGGCGTGGAAAATTGGGATTTAAAATTAATTTCAAGAGCAATGCAATTAAAGTGAAACTTTACAACATTTTTTGGCTTCTGCACTTTATTGGGTTTTAATTTCCGTTCCATTTGCTGCACCGAAGGTGCCACACACGCTCACACACACACAAGCATTGAAATGTGCATAAAAATTGAAATGTCAACCAGTGCCCCCCTTATTCCCCTTCCTCCACTCCTCCCCCGCCCCTAGCTCTCACATGCTGCGAAATCCCAAGCTGCAGTCAGTGCAAGCCATCGTGTCGTTGTTCGCTTTTGCTGCCTGTCTGCCGTTGACAGTCATTGACAGCGACGAGAAGACAAGAGGACGGCGCAATGTTGAGTGTGGCAAAGTGGAACGGAGGGGGGAGGAGTGGGGGGGGGGGGGGGGGTATGGTGGGTAGTTCGGGTAACTCTCTGTTAGCCGCATTGCATGCCAGCCAATGTTGCATGCCAGGCTGCACTTAATGCTGACTCAACGCTATATAAGGCGACGACTTGGCTACTATCCCTGCCTGCCCCAATACCACCACCATTGCATAGCAACCCCCTTGCCCATCTCCATCTCCATCACCTTCCCCTTCCCCACACTGACTTGACCATGTTTTTTGATACTTTTGCTTGGCCTGTCAACGTGCTGCACTTAATTTGTGCGCTACATCGGTCATAGTCGACACTTGTATCTTTTTGTTGCAACCACAGAGAGAGAGAGAGATAGAGAGAGAGACAGAGAGAGATAGAGAGAGAGAGAGAGAGAGAGAGAGAGAAATTGGAAACTTTGCTTGAAACTTCAAGTTTTTTCTAATTAAAAAACTTGTATTTCATCTTTGTTGCTGAAAATAAATATGTTTAAGATAGGCTGAGACAGTTTTCTGTTTTTTTTTTCTTCATACAACAGTTTTTTCATAGTTCTTTTTTTCCAATTTGAGTCTTGATCCTTTCCAAAAGTAAAATAATTCAATGTTTATATATTGAAGCTAAAACTTAAAGCCAAATGAGAAGTTAAGTTTGACTTTGTTTATACTTAAAAGCGCAGTCGCAATTCGCTCTGATCCAATAGTGTGTGTATCTATATATATATATATTTATATATATATATTCTTGAGTATGTATTTTTTAAGTCAGCTATTTCCGCTTTCTTGCAACTGGTGCCCTTGCCACTGCGCATCACTTACCCGCTGCCTGGAGAATCCTTAGCCGCTTTTTAGCACAAATCCTTTTTTGTTGTTTAAAACGCTTTGGACAGGATTTAGTTGCATGACTTTTTGCTTTTAACATTATGTGCCAGCCAACATTTCTGATGTTGCTGGTCAGTACAACAAATCTTTAACACCCAACCACACACCCCGCCCATTCTTGAACTGCTGACTGGCCTGAAGCCTGATTTTGGTGGCACTGCTGTCGCTACTGCTGCTGTTGCTGCTGATCCTGTTTCTGCACCAGACACGTACTCCTTTGGCCAAACGTGCGCGGCATTGCCAAATACAAATACATGGTCGCATTTTGTAGCTGCCACCCACTTACTTAGCGAGATAACCCCACCCGCACCATCACCCGCACCCACCACCCACCCCTTAACACCCCTCTTATTACTATAATCCCTAACATGCTTAACCCTTTTGCGTTCTTCTATTTTTCTACTTTGTTGTATTTTCAATAAATTGCGTTTTGTTTGATTTTCTTTTTTTTTTTGACCAAGCGAATCTTTCTTTTCGTTGTTTTTGCAATTTGTTGTTCTACATTTTGTGGGCTAGTTAAGATCGAGAAGTTTTTTAGTTTTTACACCAAGTGTCAACTCGTCTTAGAGTCTTTAGCAAATTTCCTCAATTTCAGTTCATTTTGTTTGCCAAGCTGAGTTGCCTTAAAGCAGTTATTAAGGGGATTTCCTAATTGTTACACTGTTGACACCAAGTAAACCATTTCGGGAATGGAAACTGCTTTGCTAAACTGGAAACTGGGAACTGTGAACATTTTTCTCTTGCCTCGTTTTGCGGTGAGAACTTTTTTTTCCCAGCTTTTTCCCTATCAGCTTTGTTAATTCGGTCAATATTTGCGGGCGCTCGAAATAAAAATGGGAAAACTCAGCGTAAAACTTTTCGCAGCGCTGTCGACCAAGTTAAAGCAAAATAATGAAAAAATCTATTTAACCCCTTAATGGCTCTTGGGCTAAAGTTTTTGTTGTGGATTTTTGTTGTTGTTATTGTTGTGTGTGGGTGTGTGTGTGGGTGTGTGTGTGGTCTGTAGTTTGTCTTGCCAGCGAAAGCAGCAAACTTTTCAACTGTTTGTGCAGCCAGTCCACACACTACTGTTAAGTGGTTTATATATTTATATATACATAGCTACATATATATACATACATATATATATATCTGCTCGTATTAATTACATAAAAGCAACAGTTGTGACAAATATTAAATGGTCTGCTTTGGCTTGAAGGCAGTTTAGCTTTTCGCATTTTATCTCTATACATTTATAACAATATTACTTTTGTTATTATTTATTTTTAATTCAGCGTTCGTTTTTGGCATTTATTCTTAGTGCTAATTACAACTCGACTCAGTTTTTTGTGCAATTTTTACCTGCTGTTTAGTTTACTTTGGGAAACCACGCTCCAGTTCTTCAATTCAGCTCAGCTCAGTTCAGTTTTGTTTAGTTTTGCTGCAAGTCCGTTTGGGGTGCGCACACTAAAAGTAGAAAGTGAAATTTTTTGTTTTTGCCTTAGTTAAATTTGTTTGATAATTAAATCCTTTTGCTCTTGTTGTTTGGAAGAGCCTTACGTTAATTAGCTTAAAGTTGAGTTTAAGAGTTTTCATCAAGTTGAGTAAATTTTGTAGTATAATTGTGCGGCTAACAGCTTTTTTTTTGACTTCGCCTCATATAAAGTTTAATAAATGCTAATCTAAGTAGAAGTAGGAATATGCCGTTTTGAGTCTTTGAATTTTAAAATTGTTGGAATATAAAATTTGAAAATTCGGATGGATTGGAATTACTTAGACAGAAGTATCTTGCTTAACGGGAGCAGGTCTTAGAGTGTCCTGGAGATGAAAAGAAGTGTCTTTTCCCACTCTAAGTCTGATGCCATACATTTAGTTATCGGACGACAACAGTTTCTCATTTGAAACTTCGAGGTTTTTCTTATAAGAAACCTTTGTATTTAATCTTGATTGCAGAAAATATATGGATTGAAATAAGTTGAGAGCCTCAGAAAGAATTACGGGATCCAGATTTTCTAGATTTCCTTTCGCTCATTTGAGAGTATATATCAATTGAATGTTTAAAATAAATAATATATTGTGATTCATACATAAATTTTAAATATATCTATGCTGAAGAATGGCGATAAGTTTTCAAATTATTGAGTAGCGACAGCTTTTCTCGTCTTATTGCGCCACTGTTCACCCAATTGGCTGCTCACAGATATTCCTCAAGCACACAAAGCTCACACCCCAGTCTCAGATTAATCTCCATTCTGGCCATCTGTGCTGGCCACCTGTGCATATTACCAACTTATATGTACCAGTATTTGTTCGCTATTATTTGCGTACATTAACACCATAAACCAAAGATACAAAAACGAGAAAACCATTTAAAGCTTAACGAATTTTTCATGCTTTGCCTGCAACCAAAATAATAAATACAATTTTTTTTTTGCTGTAAATTCGGTGCCCCATTTCTGTTTTGCATTTGTTATTCTTACATTTTTAGATATTTTTCCTAGAATTGTTTTATGTCTGTTTTTTTTTAGACATTTTTTGTAGGTTTTTTTTTTTAGTGCGCAGAAAGTTGAAGTTTGTTTATTTTGTGCCACCTGCACTTTTTCTTTTACGTGCCAGCGACCACAACGGCAAAATACAAATGAGTGAGTGAATGGACCAAGGAGCAGCCGAAGGGAGGGGGGAGGGGTAAATTGCCTGTAAAAAGTAGGGAAACTTTTCACTGTGGTTTTTTTTTTTTATCCAGCGGCGGTTTTCGTGAGCTTTTTTTCTGCTCGAGCCAGCAGGTATTTATATTTAAATGCTGCTTGTGGCACGCCATTGCGCCTATTGTTATGCAATGAAACTTTTGTTTTCACATTGTTCCCAACCGAAATGGACGAACAGAGCCACAAACCACACACAAAATTCCGCAATGAGAGATTCGGTTTACTGCTTTTTGGGCTAACATATATCCCATTCCCTATCTGTATCTGTTTTTTTTTTCTCTTTTTGGGTGTCCATTGCGGCAGCTGTTTCAGCTGAGGCGTGCGACCTTCGCAGGCGTCAACGTTTTTATTATGTTATTGACTTCTAACCACATTTTCACACCGCATATATAATCTATATATATTTATATAAGGACCGCGTCCTTGACAGCAGACAACAAAAAGGGAAAGAAAAAAAACACTTATAAAATCAGTAAGCCATAATTTGTTGCCGCTCTTTGCGAATAAATATACAAACAGTTCTTTTTTATACCCATAGTTTTTGTGATATAGCAAAATTGACCCTACCCGTATATATACATATATATATATATAGGATGTATTGTCATGACATAAATATAAATATAAATTTTTATATTTTCTTGTCTGGCAAATAGCTTTTTGCCATTCTTTTCTGAGCAGCCTTCAAGCTTCAATCGCTTTTTGTGTTGGCGATAAATATATGTACACTATCTACTATATATACTATATATACTGTAGATTATACTACATATATATATATATAGATATATTCTTGCTCTTCGTAGGCGTTTTGCTCGCTCGACAAAGTGAAATTTATTAGAAACGCAAAATCTGTTTGCAGATTGTGTGGAAGATTTGATTATTTATGGTCAGCTGGTTACTGTTTACTGTTGTAGCTGCCTGCGTTAACTATATAACGCTTTAAGCCTTGTTTATACAACATCAATATAGAATAAATGATGTCGAAATGCGGTTAACTTGGTGATATTTAATTTGGCCATGTTACTAAATGAGCATTTATTTAATTGAATATAATTTATAAGCCAGTTACTTGGATTATTTTTTATTATAATTATTGTTAAACTGAGTGCACTGCGACCACTTGCATCCATTGTGTCTCCTAGTGATAAGTAAGCTATAGCTCGTTATCTAGCTACCATTTATCTATGCTTGAGGATGTGGGCCTCCAATTGAGAAAATCTCAGCCTACTGACTCACCCAGAATGTGTTCTGAAGTCTGGTCATACACAAGGCAGATTCAGTGTCCCTTCGGAAAGCTTGCTGTTATCCTAAGTAGATAACAATTGGTTGCCTAGAAGTCTTCTGCTACATATTGGCTCCAACAGGAGCCTGCTGGCACTTCTCAGTACTTTTTGGCCGGTTCAAGTCCTTCCTCCAGAGAGGTGAGCTGTCTTCCTTCGACAGCAACTTCTTAACCCGAATCTATTGTCTTCCTGCTACTCTGCCCCAATTTAGTCAGCTTAAGCTATATATTCGAGGCACCTATTCAAGCAACCTTAACCAACCACATAGAACTATCTGACCATCACTGCTTTAAATTATTTGCTCATACAGCTTTCGTTGCTGCTTGGTCGCTAGGCAACCTGTATTCAACATGTACTTTCTCATTAATTATATGCCTTGCTTTGCTCTAGCTATTTCCAAAATAATTGCCTACTTTTCGGGGCGCACAAAACTTTATTTGAATGCAGGCATTTCCCTTGTGGTCGCAAATTTCGTTGCCAGGTTTCAATTTTATTCTATTTTTTCTTCCTCTATTTTTACTTTTTACTTTTTTTTTTGTTGCAAAATTATACAAATTAATTTGAGAGCGACAATTGCGGAGTTTTGAGCCCTGCGGCTTCTGCATCAGCAGCCACATCTTACAATCCTGCCCCCGCAGCAACCAACGAGATTCGTCTTGTGTTTCTGTGCCCATTTCGCGGGCAGCGCATTAATTATGCTCAAGTGTCCGCTGGGAATGTGGCCAACACTTGTTATATAATGACTTTTGTAGAATTGGATTGTGGGCCGAGTTTGCTGTGTGTGTGGGGGGGAATGTGGATGGGTGGGAGATGGTTGGCGAAAAATTTGGCTTTTTTGTCATCAGCGCGTCGCGTTTGTTAGACAAGCTTATGATTTGATTTGGACGGCAACAGGGATTACTGTGTAGAGTTTTTAACGTGTTGGCGATGTGGCTTAAAGCGCCAGAAAGAGAGGGAGAGTAAGAGTGAAAGAGATGGAGAGACCGAAAGAGATGGAGAGACAGAAAGAGAGAGAGAGAACGCGAGGCGAAAGCTTTTCGCTAAATAAAACTAAGCGTTGGAAAACGTGGTAAAAAATGCTCGGCCCGACAGCTGCATGGCAATATATCACAGATTTATGTCAGCATCATGGAAAATAGCACACGCAGATACCGGCGCAAATACAACTACACACACACACACAGATACAAAGACTATGAACTAACTATAAAAACACACCAAAAGTAAATAAAGTAAATCATAAAAAGAAAACAAGGCCAACAACAAAAAACTGCAAATGTTTTTGCGAAACCGTGCCAAAAGCGGAAACGAAAAATGTTAAAGCTTAAAGCTGGCAAATGCCCGTAAAATCAATAAAAATAAATAAAAAATATTCCAGACTTGTTGGAGTTGTTTGTATGTGTTTCAATATGTGTATCTCAGGGTGTACGTGTGTGTTTTGACTTTTGGCAAATGGTAAACAAATTGTAAGCCTTATCGGAGATTGCGTTCTGGCTAAATAAATGAAAGATGGTCAAAGAGAAGCGGACTAGATAAATTCATGTATATATCCATATATTTATATGTTCTATATGAAAATGAATAATATGTATAAAGTAATTCTTTTCAGCAAGTGTAGTTAAACAACAGGATTATTCAATCTTTTCGGTTTGTTCGTATAGAAGCTTTGTAAAGTATACCCAGATATATTATTTTTTCTGGCTGTTTTGGCTAGAGCATTCTAACTAGATTATAAAGTATCTCAAATATTTATTGATTATTTAATTTTATTTTAGATATTCCATGAAATATGTTTGCCTGCTTTAATTCAATTCCAGACTTTAGCATGTCTTGTATTGATGCAGCTCTAACTGCTTTCCTTTCCTCACTCACTCGCAGCCATAACTAACTGCATTGTCAGAATCTCTCAAGTCTTCTTAAATATTTTAGTTATAGTACAATTTAATATGTAGCTGATTTCTGTGTGTAAGTCTCAAATGAATGTAATGTTCTTTAGCAGCGCCAACTGCTTTCAAGTAGCACTTAGCTCATCTTTCATTTTTGCCCCCTTCAGTCACACATTCTCCGCTGCTGTTGCATGCCACTCATCGAGTTGCTACTTCAGTTCTCACAGGCATTAATTTACGCAAATGACAAAAGCATGTTGCAAATGGAAATTCTGTCTGTCAAAATGTACGAAAGTGGGTTAAAATCATTTACAACTGTTTTTCTTTAGCCATTTGTTCATGTTGATGTTCTTGTTTTTGTTTTTGTGTTTGTTGTTGATGTTCTTTTACATGTTCACCTGACATGACGATTAACAGTGAGCCTTGCATAATTAGTGAAGGTCCTTGCTTTGGTGGCTCTTGTGTACACTGTTACTAAAAATGAGGGCTATTGTTTTTAAAAATACAACTTTTCATAAATTTTAAGATTTATTTACACTTACAGTTTTCAAAAAACTTATAGATTTCCTTTTAAAACTAAAAGTACAGAA